TACATGCCTTTTTTGACAACAGAGTTTCCACCCGCTGTCAGAACCAACACATAAAGAAGAAAAAGAAACAAAAGACAAGACTTTACCTCGGCCCAAGTGGCCTTCTCATGCATTAGTAAACGGTTTACATCCGCTTCTGCCCTTTGGCGTCAAACAACAAGAAGAGCAGAGCGAGATAAGGCGCGCGCTGGGACTCTAATGGGTTTCTAATAGTGGGCGCGTGGACACAACGACGTGGCCGCCGAATACGTCACTCTCTTTTCACGCGAGTGAGGAACTCATTTTCGAGAAAGGTTGACGAGAGCGCGTTTTGTCCAATGCCCGATTGTAGTCGGATCCGCGTTGACGTATCGAGCTGTTGGCAGCAACAGTTGTTGCTCGCATAAAAGGCAAAGTAGATTTGCAGATGAACTATGCAAAGACCACCTCCGAAATCATTTTGGGTGAGCCATCCGAGTAGCAAGTAGTGGCTCCGTAAATGGTCGCACTGGAAACGCAAATGTATGAGTGTCGCACACTTGTAGGTGCACACTGAAAACGTAAAGCGTATGAATGTCGTAGGTGTGTGAATACCCATTCGTACACTAGTAAAGGTACATACTTGTCCACACACTTGGGTTTCCGGTGTGGCTCCACAGGCGAAGGAGGGCCCAGTGACCCACAGAGCAGGCGGATAGACCTGTTTTTCAACACTGCCCTTCCCCGCGACGCCCTTTGCAAAGGAAGAAGAAGAGAGGGAGACACGCGCGGTAGGCCGAGCAGGGGCGATAGTCGATTGGCCCGGTCGAACCGAGGAGCCCATACAACTCCGAAAAATCTTGTACACCTGATTTCAATATTTCACACGATTTCACGGATTTCAACGAATTTTCTTTGATTTCAGTAAGATTTCCGGTGATTTCGTTTTGATTTCCACTGATTTCAGTTAGATTTCCATTGATTAATTTCAGGTGATTTAAAGTGAATTCGAGTGATTTCAGATGAATTTAAGAGATTTCTTATGAATATAAGAGATTTCTAATCACTAAATTTTCCAGATTTCAAGGTGATGTTTTAGTGATGTCAAATGAATTCAAGGGATTTGATTGCGATTTCTATTGAATTCGAACG